GCGTTAAACTGCATGAAAGGCATTATTTAAAGACTTTACGATTGTTGTTTTCCCAACTCTAACTAATGCAAATTAGCCTCCCAGCATTTCAGCTTCCCTCGGAGTAAAAACACCGAGGTGGTCAGATCTTCTGTGGCGTCCTGGGTCTCTAAATTAAAGGCTTCATTGAAAACCAAATGAAAGGACGTCGGTGGATTACATGGCTTTCCTCAGCGGGCCGCAGGTCAACGTGGTTTTATAAATCACAACCCGGAGAGGGTGTTAGGTTTTAACTTGGCTCACAGAAATGATCAAAAACTGACACTCAGACTGCCAAACGTTTGTAGACACAAGAGTGGTTCGAGTAAAAAATATATTAATGTATACAGAGAGTTCAGACCTGCATTTAGCAGCATCTGATGCCAATCAGATAGATCAAAACTGTTTTTAACAAAATGTGGTGAACTACGAGCATTTTAGGCAAAAACGTTGGTTTTATCAGTTTTCTTTAGATATTCATGTGAAGAGTCTGATCAACCCTTCAATTTCTCTGCTTCGATGGATCAGCGTGAACCAGGATGCACAAAATCTGCAGTAACTCACCTGTGACCATAGTTTCCACTTTAGAATCCTTTTAAAATAAAGTACTATGGCAGAGAGACACTCAATGATATGAGTTGTTTTGTTTCCTTCCAAATGAAGAAGCGCTGTTGGTAAACTATGACGGAGATTTAGGGCCACGCTAAGGAAAAAAAAAATTACACTACAAACGAGAATAAAGTCGTACGACAATAAAGTCATAATATTACAAGAATAAAGTAGAAACAATAAGAGAATAAAGTCATAATATTACGAGAATAAAGTTGAAACATTACAGGTTTCCTCCCACAGACCAAAAACATGCATGTTAGGCTGATTGATAACTCTGGATTGTCCCTAGGTGTGAGTGAGAGAGTGAACGGTTGTTTTTCTTGTTTGTCTCTATGTGTCCCTGTGATGGACTTGCGACCCGTCCAGGGCGTACCCCGCCCCTCGCACTTTGATTGCCAGACATGGGCACGGGTGACCCCTGTGACCCTAAATGGAAGAAGCGGGTAAAAGATAATGGATGGATGGATGGATTACAAGAATAAAGTCGCACAACAATGGTCATAATATTACAAGAATAAAGTCGAAATATGGGAATAAAGTTGTAGTATTACGAGAATAAAGTTGTATTACAGTAAAGTCATAATATTACGAGATTAAAGTTGAAACATTACAAGAATAAAGTCGTATTATTACGAGAATAAAGTTGTATGACAGTAAAGTCATAATAGAAGAATAAAATTGTAGTATTACGAGAATAAAGTTGTATGACAGTAAAGTCATAAAAGAAGAATAAAATTGTAGTATTACGAGAATAAAGTTGTATGACAGTAAAGTCATAATATTATAAGAACAAAGTTGTAGTATTACGAGAATAAAGTCATATTACAATAATAATGTCATAATATTACAAGAATAAAGTCAAAATATCACAAGAATAAAGTCGAAATATTACAAGAATAAAGTCAAAATATTACAAGAATAAAGTTCTAGTATTATGAGAATAAAGTTATATTACGAGAATAGAGTCGGAATATTAAAAGAATAAAGTCTTAATATTATGAGAAAAATGTTGTAATATTACGAGAATAAAATCACAATATTATGAGAAAAAAGTTGTAATATTACGAGAATAAAGTCATAAT